TTCTGTCGAAATCACTAGAAGCTTTAGATAGATGCAGGTTGGTTGCATTGGTCTAATGTTGACTAAATTGATATATTTAATGTTTAATTTTGAAATATATGTGAAAAGGATTGTGTACTTGATGTGAGATATTGAACATTTGAAGAAGGGTATCTAATTAGGAAAAATTGAGAAATGTATACAAAATAGAGTATGTTATCAAGTTATCTAAGTATGTGTGCAAAGGATATGAAGAGAGAAGCTAGACTGCCAGTGTGTTACTGACATGTGGTGTCTTGCATTGCCTGCAGTAGAGTTGAAGGGAGTAGAATATGGGTTTGTAATATTGCTATTGTCAGACTTTAGTTTGGAGAAATAAATACACACATTTGAAAATTTGAAGTGCAGTATTTGAAGTGATTCCCATGGCCTCCAAAGACCACACAATTGCCACCATCATTTTCTTAATACCAGTAATTACATTTATCACAAGAATGGAGTTAATAACGGCCCCTAAAAAATCAGAGGATAATTGGATAACTATATGACCTTTAGCTAAAACCAGATACCAGATGAATTTTACACATCATGTATACTTTAATTCATCCCTTCAATGACAAAACAGTTATTAATAAACACCATCTTCTGTATGGTGACCAGAAATAAGTTTGTCACATGTTTGACAAATTGCTAAGTGGAAGTCCTGCCAAAACCTGGGTTTAACACCCCACATTGGAACAATATTTGGAGGAGATTTTATCTCAAACCTGCTCACACTCCTATAAGTATCATCTGTGTCTTCACCAAGAATGATTTCAAGATTAAATTATCAGCCAACAGCATCACTAGAGTAATCCCATTATGTTGCTTGTTCATTTAGATTGACTACCTCTTATCAGCTTTGTTAAAAACGATGGGCTCTTAATGCTGTCCTCCCCTAGAGTAGGTCAGTCTTTCCGTATGGAGAAGAGAAATTTAACCAGAAGTACATTATTGTTGCAATTATTTTTTGGTTGGTACCATAGTGGGAGGTTTTGAAATGTTAGTGCCAATCATTGGCCCTGTGTGAGAATAAAAAACCCAACATACTTATAACTGTCGTGGAGTCTATGTTTAACAGCCATCCCAACAGTCCTTGCAAAGCTGATTTGCCTCAATCAATTGTAGCAAATATCTTGTTAGAGCACAATGTGTCCACTTCATTGTGATTCTTGCCTAAATTGTAATCACATTTTCACCCTTCTTGTGGCTTTTAGTCTCTTCAAGAGGCTTGTCTGTCGACTGTACAAGGGCCAGGGAAGAAATTAGTCCCACGAGTGTGTTTCGATGACCCTGATTGGTTGAGGAAAATGGACATTAATATGACACGTCGATATCGCTGACGTTTGCCAAAATCCAGATGGCATGACTTGACTGACTGACGAAACGTCGGTGAAACCTTGCCTCTGGCATGGTCTGTCAAGGTTGTTAAAACACTTAAAGTTTGCTTTGATCAAACACTGCATGATGGTTGGAGTGTGTTCATCTGCACAGGCCATGAATATGTTACATAGTATTGAACTGAGGGTTCTTTCTACTCCATCTCTGTTCCAACCCACAGGGTATTTTTCTTCATATTTGTATGTACACCAGTCAATGAAATGCCCACCAGATTATCAAGAGAATCACATTATTCCATATGTAGGGTTTTACAAAATGTTTGGCACTGTGGGTCATTTCATGGAGTTATGGGTTGGGGAAGATTTGTGTTTTGGGGTGGGGCATGGTCGCAGACGGCAGGGGTGGAATGTAGGGGTTTAGTGAGTGAGTGAGTTTAGTTTTACGCCGCACTCAGCAATATTCAAGCTATATGGCAGCAGTCTCTAAATAATCTGGACCAGACAATCCAGTGAGCAACATCATGAGCAGCAATCTATGCAATTGGGAACCGATGACATGTGTCAACCAAGTCAGCGAGCCTGACCACCCGATCCCGTTAATTGCCTCTTACGACAAGCATGGGTTACTAAAGATTAATTCTAACCGGGTCTTCACGGGGGTAGGGCCTGATTGTTGGGGATGGTGATGAGGGGGTCGGGTAGGGGAAACAGGTGTTACTGGTATATGAAACCTACTTTCCATTTTTAAAAATTCTTGGATCCATCCTTTCAAGTTTCAAATTAACACCATTTCATCTGAGTTAAAGATCCGTAGATAATGACAGTTGCTTCCCTTACACATGCCAGACTCCTAAGAGCAAGGTTTTGAATCCCCAATTAATTTTGCACCATGCAAGTGTTAAGTAACAGATATGCTGTTTAAAACTCACTCATGCTCTCTCTGTATATTGTGAGTGAGTGAGTGAGTGGTGTGCTAACAAACGTAGAAATGTGATTTGAGCCAACCAGGATTTGAACCCATGATCATAGGTTTCTGGCATGTCCAAGGGATGTAACTCTGCATAACAATTGTAGCACCTCAGATGACTGAACCACTCATGCCCCAATATATAGAGAGAAGCCACGGGTAACCTGCACTTTGCTTGTGTAGTCAAAGGGTGTTGTCATTCATAATTTTAGAAAATAATCAATACAGGTTTCTAGAATTAGACCATAACCTACAATAGGAATTAAACTACAACCTACAAATACTGAAAACTCCAAGGACTCCAGTAACCAAGTGTCTGATTGTGCTATATTTGGCTGCTTATTGCTCTCGATGCTTCTGTCAAACCCAATTGACAGAGTGTGTCGCTAGCCATGCTGCTGTTGTCGAAACCATTCAGGCAAGGTGAACGATTAATTGGTGGTACTGTGTGTGGTGCCATCAGCATTTAGACCCGACATGGAATACAGCATTACCGCACTTGCTCCATAGTCAACAGTTGTGACCCTGGCTATTGGCTTTTGTGATCAGGTCAGATGTGAGATCTGTGTTACAACATATCAAAGAGTTTGTTAGCTAGGTGTCTCAATGTGCTAGCACTATAAAACCAGCTTAAGCCCCGACTAGTTTAAGCAGGGAAAGAGTGAGAGAGATGAATCACACATGCAAAATGACAGACACATGTTCGCACATCCACGTGTGCGCACACACACCACACAAACATCTGAAGTGTGATGTGCAACTCATGTCATTGAATTACTCCGTCCCTGTTCATCAGCGGCAATAGCTAAAAAATACCCCTGATAAATGCTCTTCCTGAACAAATGACTAAGAACTACTTCCCTGTTCATCAATGAAGATAATTTCATGATTATTTTTTTTCAACAAAGAAATAAAATCTCTCTACTGAGCAAATAACAAAACCAGGAAATCCTTTTGATAATATTTCAATTCCAGTTCTTTAAAAACACTTGTTTGAGTTTCCGTTGTTCCAGATACACCTATTTGCTGCAATAAAAATGTCAAATCACTGGATAATGTTTACTCTTGAGTACTTATGAAAGGCCATTCCTCTGTGGAGTCTTTTCATCCCTCCAGACAAACATAATTCGAAGGTTTTTCAACACAGCTTTAGAATCACAGAAATAGAATTTCAAGTTAATGAAAGAAGTCTCTTAACATTATAGTCCTCATATTTTTCTACTCAGGCTGGAAAATATTTGCAAGGCTCCTTCAAACAAATTGTAATTGCTCAATCATTAAAACAATCCTGTGTAAACAAATGTCCTTTTTTTCTAAATTTGTCTGGAAACAGTGTCAACTTAGGAAAAATCGACCAACTTTGTTCCCTCACCTGTTCACATTGCCCCCAATTTAGTGGATTTGTCTGTTAATTTACTCTTCTTCCTTCTTGGGCAAATATAGACAGTGGTCCCTGACTAAACAGGAATAACAAAGGTGACACCCTTTTGTTTGTGCAAGATAGGGCAATCAATGGTTTGATAGGATAGGCGGAAGAGAGCCATTGGAATATGGCCACTTTGGTATCTTGGAGAGGTTGGAATCTTGACTTTGGCACACACCCTGGGATGTATCCTCATAGTCTGTGATTCTTCAAATAATTGTCAGTGGGGTCGACGGAGGACAAATTCAAATGTTTAATCCCAAGGAATTATCATTGTGATTGATAGATGTTTGAAAAGTAAGGTGTGTAGTGGTTACTGTTGGAAACCGTTTTCATCCTAATTAGCAGCATCGGCAGCAGCAGCATGGTGCTGTCCTGTGACAGCTGACAATCAGGTTATCTTTTTATAGGCCCTTGGGGGACAGACCATTTCATATTCTTGGTGGAGGGGGGGGTCTCATGGGGGTGGGGTCTCATTGGGAATTTTGTATGGACACTAGGTAGTATTTCATGAGCTTAGATAAAAAGATATAAAGCGTCTTGCAAAGCGTCATTGGTTGATGGTTTGTAACAGAAGCGAAGATTGTAGGACATGTACACAGGTTAAGGTTGCCTAGTGGTCAGAAATGGTCATGTCAGAGGTTAATGTTCAATCCTTAACATGGACATTATGAACAAAGCCTATTCTGTACACCAGGGATGAAAGATGTTTAAAGAATGATATGCTTACTCCAGATTCAGCCTTATGAGCTTCTCATTTGCAAAGCAGGCGTTCAAAGCTTTTTCCTGTATTGTGTGAAAGTGAGAGAAGCATCAATATTTGAGATGAAATAACATAAACTCTGACAGGTATACAATTGTAAGTGATGCTACCTACGTCATTTTGGGTATCAGTTGGTTTGAATGCTGCTTTATATGGCATTATGAGCGTTGGTTTGGTAGCCTAGTGGTAAAAGTGTTTGCTTGTCATGCCGAAGGGGAGTTCGACTCACCAACATGGGTACAATGGGTGAAGCGTATTTCCAGTGTCCCCCACCATGATATTACTGGACTATTTTTTAAAGCGGTGTAAACTAAACCTTATTCACTCACACACTTACTCACTCAACTTTGCATGAGGACATTGCCCAATGTGACCAATTAATACTATCCGCGTCTTGGTTGACCAATTGCTTGGTCCTAAACAGGTCGTATTTCCTGTGGAAGGCCGTTTTGGATGATCGATGCCAGAATTCTCAATTTCTTGTTTCAGACTTCACCACATCTCATGGCATTAGCTGTCAATTCCCGTGACCTTGACTTTTGATGCGATGACCTTGATATTTACAGGTGAGTAACTACTGAAACATAAACGAAAACATACTGGTTATGAAAACCATAAATCTTATTTGATTTACATTATGCATTATATTTCAAAACACGTACAGGCAAATTTAAATAAACTTAATTATCGTGGACATTTAACGATATGAAGAAAATGAAACATTTAAGTCAATGCTTTCAAATTTGAATCTTGTTTTATTTTAGATTGCACTTTGATGAAGCGATTACTTTCGAAACATTTAAACTGTCTTTTCAACATCAAGAAGAATTTGTAGTAACTCTGAACTTGACGTAATCATTTTCAAGCGTGATTAGTCTCGAACAGATCACTTCAACTGCGATCAGCTCATGGAATTCAACATCTGCTTTTGAAGCATGTCAGATTCAACTGTAATTACAGATTCTCTGTTAAACACTCGTCAATTTCTATGTTGATTTCAATGTCAGGTAATGGGTAAATGGAAAAGTCAAACAAGCACTTGTATAGGTAACATGTAGGGTCATTAATCATTGCCTTCGAACTGGACTGATTCTTTTCGCTCAAGCTCATTAGCTACTGCACAGGCATGCATGGTCTATGGACCATGGGGTGATATTTTGTCCCCTCTTATGAGTTAGACTGGGAATGTGAACTTTCATGAAGTATTAAACAAGGAGTAATGTATTGCATTTTTAAAAATCAGTGTAAAAACCACTGTTTTGTGAATAAGGTTGAAATGGAGGTCATTCCTTAAAGGATTCGTCATTATCGTTCTATTTCTTTCTGCTCTTTGGGTATTGATTCTTCCATGGTTATAAAGAAATTTTATTTTTAAACGTGACCTTGGTGTTTTTGTAGCAATTTCGATGTTTAGTGGCAAATCAATACATGGCACCATTAGTTGGAGAAGTCCCGATAGTTCCACAATTTTGATATTACGTCTTTTAAAGCAGAGTCTTCATCGGTTTGATGCCAATTTTCTGTGTGTAATGTCTGTAGGTAAAAAGAGTCATTCATCCATGAATGTGATGACCAAATAACCAGTAACAAGGTCAGTGCTGAGCAAGGAGGGTAGCCTTGTAGCCGTCACGTCGAAAACCAGGGTTCGATTCCCCAAATGGGTAAAATGTCTGAAGCTAATTTCTGGTGTCTCCACCCTGATATTGCTGAAATATTGCTAAAAGCAGTGTAAAGCCATACTCACTCGCTATTCCAGCAACACGTGGTATGTGTGTGCCAGCAGACGACCATGATACCCTGTTATTTCCAATCTTTCCAAAGCAAAGAGTGACATTGTGGATCATTAATACTCTTTGCTATGTATCTGTCCCGACCTTTCTAGCCATGAGGGGCGGTGAGGTAGCCTATTGATCAAAGCAGTCGCTCATCTCACGGATGGAAATATATTTGAAAATCAGTGATATCCCCAAGTGTTTATGAAAACCTTTACCTCAAGTGCAGCGACATCCTTTACTGCTGAGTGACAAAGTGGTGTTGTTAACCATAATTATCAGCATCTAGACAACCAAATATTCCGACAAGGTTCAAGGCTCGTGTTGTCAATGGCGTGACTATCACAATGATTCATGTAACAATCATCTTGAAGCAGCGATATCTAGGACGACTAAATATTCACTCAACCAACACCAGTTGTCAGGAAAACATTATCCCTTGATAGTATCCCAGCTTACAGGGTCGCCTGCTGTTTTCAAAATGAAACTGTTTTTTTTCTGAATTGAAACATTTTTGCTTTGATATATGGCATAGGGAAAAAGCGTATCGGTTTGCTGTTTGTTCTGTGTCACTGATCGTGTTTGAAATAGTAACTTTTTCACACAGGTCTCATTAAATGTAATGAATTTCAGTTTTGTTCTTGTCTGGTTTATTGTTGGATAGATGATAGATTTGATTTGCACAGTTTTTTTCTCTTTACAATGTTTTACTGCAATGTCTGGTGGAATTGATAAAGTAGAATTTACACACATTATTGTAGAGGGGTTGAAGAGCTCCTTGATGTCCACGATCTTTCTCCAGGGCGATTACATTGAGCTTAGTCAGTTCTCTTTTATTGACATTATAATGCTGCAGTTTTCTTTCAGTGCCACCTCAGGCCAGAATACTTAGAGGTATTTATTTAAAGGAGCAAAGTTATTTTTGGCTCTAACTAATGGAAGCAGATATTTGGCATTATAGCGTTTTTAAAAAATATTTTTAAGCACGCCAATAATGTTCAGATATTTCGTTTTGCTGTAAGGGATTCTGGAACAGAACTGGTCATGACTGGCCCAAGGTTTTTGTAAATTACTGACTGACTGACTGAGTTTGGTTTTACGTCGCTTTCAGCAATATTCCAGCAACATCACGGCGGGGGACACCAGAAATGGGCTTTACACATTGTGCCCATGTGGGGATTCGAACCCCGGGTCTTCGGCGTGACGAGCGAACGCTTTAACCATTAGGCTACCCCACCGCCCCTTTTTGTAAATTAAGACTATTAGGATTGAATTATTAAATGAGACCTGAGGTAGTTTTACTTTTCCATTTCAAGACTGACAGATGTTTAGTCAAATCCTTTCAAAGAGCCTTAGGGGCTAGTGTTGTGGCTGGAATAAGTTGAAGATTTTGGAGGTGATAGAGGAACTATCTTTTGTCACAAGCACACACATTCATTTTACCTTATGTATTTTGGTATTTTTTCAAAATTAAAATGTATTAATTTTGAAACAGTCTTTTCGTCTCTTAATGACCGAAAAATGGTGCATATCAATATTTTTCCTCAGTTTTTAATCAAAATCAAGTTATCATCATTTGATGTCTTGCTGAAATTAACCAATAACTTGTTTGGCTGTGAAATGTACATCATCTTCACTTTCTTTAACTAAAAATAATCTATCAACTTTAATTCTTGACTGCTCATGGGGCCTATTCTGTGAAACCGTTATTCCCCTTTTAGCAAAATCAATATTGAAAATATTGTATCAGTAATTCAAGTATTGGATGTATCCAGATTATTGCATTGATGATGGTGATTACTAACCAGTCACATATTCAACTGTGTTTTATTCGGAAAAGAAATCCATGGCAACCCTTGTAAATCACTAGACCACTAGATGTTGTATACATCAGGATGATTCTCAAATAATAATCATGTGTTTGGTACAAAATAGTACACTCATCAGTGCTCCAGGCTTAAAATTCTGATTGGATTTTGGAAGTGATACAAACGTCAAGTTCTGCATTACGAGGATAACGATGCCTCAGATCACATGAGCATATCACCTGTCTTTAGGCAGTCTAATGAGGATCAGCTACGTGAGTCGATTACTCACAGATTACCCTACAGTCAGTTACTCACTCACACACTCGCTTACCCACAAAGCCACAAATGATATTGCTGACTGCCAACATTCTTGGGCTATGTGGACTATTGCTCTTACTATTCACTACTGAATGGCCCAGACTCGACTACTTACAGGTAACCTTGATATAGCTGGAATATTGCTGACTGCCAACATTCTTGGGCTGTGTGGACTATTGCTCTTACTATCCACCAATGAATGGCCCAGACCGACAACTTACAGGTAACCTTGATGTAGCTGGAATATTGCTGACTGCCAACATTCTTGGGCTGTGAATATTGCTCTTACTATCCACCAATGAATGGCCCAGACTCGACTACTTACAGATCAACTGCCTTAGTGGTCTCTGGGGAAGAGCATCTGCCCTGAGAGTGGAAGGTGGGTGTTTGACCACCGTCCCTGTTCTACAACAAGACGTGGTACATGTCAGCATGTTTGCCACAGGGAGAAACAAGGACTGATTGCCTTAGAGTTGTTACACTTGTGGGGTATGCATGTGGGGCATGGTCTTTCAGAAGCCTGGTGCTGGAGTCCCAACTAGTACATGCACACACAAGCACACATGCATGCATACATACATACAAGTAAACACACAAGCGAGAACACACACAGGTGTTGTTGATGTGTTTGATGGACATCACAGAGACTTCAATTCTCCACATATGTAAAATGCGAGTTGCTCAGGTCTTCTTTAATTCCTTTTGCATGATTTTTGGTATTGGTAAGACAAATGATAAACCTCACTCTCTCACTTAGTCACTCGGTCACTCACAGTCAGTTACTCACTCACTCACTCACTCACTCACTCACTCACTCACTCACTCACTCACTCACTCACTCACTCACTCACAGTCAGCTACTCACTCACACACTCGCTTACCCACAAACCCACTAATGCACCCATTCACCCATCCATCACATCACTTACTCACTTTTTTGTGTTTGGTTCTGACTTCAGCACTTCATGCCAAAAAAGCCATTAACCTTGAAGGACATTACAAACATACAAATGGTAAAGTTCATAATCAGTTATTCTGACATGATCAGCTTCTAACATCACAAGCCTTCTTCAAACAGATTAGAAAAATCCTTTTGGTCACGTTTGAAGTTTTGATCAAAGCACTTTTTTTTTCTGAAAGTTGGACAGTTGCATCTATATGTTGTCAGTGTCACTGTGCCCAGCAACACATTCTGTAATCTCTGGGGGTTTGTTCGCGATGTCATCAGCATGTGAAATCAGATACTTTCATTGTTATGTAATATTGACAGAAACGCCATCCATATTCGAGGAGATATTGTCAACAAATGTCAAACTCAACAAGGTCTTTTCCATGTAATTTGCAATTCCTATGAAATCCCATAGCCCTGATATTGCCTCTGGGAGTCTGAATCCACCGGCCCAAAATACTTTCTTTCAATTAAGCTGATATTTTCATTAGATTCTTCCTGCACTCTGTAGTCTGTCTTTTTTTCATTTAGTTAAAATCATCTTTTAATGCATTTTGCTCCTTTATGACATAATCTAAATCTAGCTTTGTCCCTGCCATGTCTTGCCATGTTCCTCATTGTATGTATTAACATCCACTGATTCAGAAAGGGAAGCCATGTCAGGCTGGCCTGATCTTATGTGCCACTAACAGGAACAAAAGACTCCAGAAAATGTTTTATCGTTTGAGTTTATATAAACAAGTATTGGCTGTGATATTGAGGTGTGAAGTATATTTGTATCCCCTTGGGTCTAGTCTGTTTGGTATTTTCTCACTGACTGAAAAAACAATTTTGCTTAAAATGCTGGTTTACTAGTATTTGGCTTCAAATTGTATCTGTTCATCTGCTGCTGGAAGTGTGAAACTTCTCAACATGTTCGATTAACAAAGATTATATATGTATTGTCACAACAGTAGAATGGTGTAGCCAAATGTTTAAGCGTTTCTCTGTCATGCCGAGGTCCTGGGTTTGATTCCACCCATCAGTACAATGTGTGAAGCCCATTGTATACCTTGCAGAGATATTGCTGGAATATTGCCTAAAACTACTACACACTTAAGTATGTGTAATGCCTGAATTCAATCTGTAAATAAGGATAAAGATATATATACATTCTGTTTAGAAATGAAATATGCACAAATAGTTTTTCTAATGACTTTTGAAATTAGTGATGCATTTTTGTATGCAATCAACTCAAACATAACCGTATAATTGTTTTTATTCTGTGTATGTTATGCATATGTGCAGTTTGTATGAAGCTATGCAAATCTCAATTTCCCCTTTCTCATTTGTGGCTCAAATCAGCTGACTTAAACATGTATGTACAGAACATGGAAAGGTGGAAAGTTATGTATACGATCATATTACAGGTTTTATTGGTCTCAGAGGCTTTTGTTCATTTCTGCAGCTTCTGTCATCCATGGTTGCAAAATGATTGTATTTCTTCACATACAGTTCATTTAGTGGGATTATCCTCGGTCCTTGTGATTTGTTCTTTGTAACTTGATCTCCTGGGTAACGCCAGTTCGGATGTTCAATCATTGGGTAACAGAATCCTGGCTTTGAACTGTGCTTGCTCACACATCTAATCAAATAATGTGTGAAGCCCATTTCTTGTCTCCCTGGCTGTGAAATCACCTGAATATTCTAAACGCAGCATAAAACCCAACTCACCCATGTATGTGTGATGCAAGTATTTAATATGTAGAAAAGTATATTTTTTTTTTGAAAGGACATATACGCACAGGTTATGTTATACTACAGAGGTTTGACATTTATCATGCATTTTTGTAAGCGAGCATCTCAAACTACACAGTGTAAATGTGATTTAGTATTCTGTTCAAATATGCAACTTGTATGAAGCCCTATGAACTTGTTACTTTTTTCTTAACACTTTCTAATTTGTGACTCAAACCGGCTGAGTTGATCTGACATCATCCTGACCTAAACAGTAGGAGTATGTAAAGACCATACATGAAAGCTTATTTACAAGATCATATCACAGATTCTGTTGGCTTCAGAGCCTCTTCTTCATTTCTTGTCTTTCATCCATGGTTGCAAAATGATTAGTGTAATTCTTCACACACATTTTCCTTCAGAGGGACTAGCTGTGATCTCCTGTGATCTCCTGGGTAACGCCTCCAGTTCAACTAATCAAATTCATTTTTTGGTTTCTTTGGATGAGGGTGTAACAGTAGTTATTTTTCTGTGTCTGATTTTGTAAATCCTGTCCTCTCAGATACAGGTTAATTTATGTTGCTTTGAACTTTCAATGTAAAGGTTTGAAAGCCTGTCCTCTCTGATACAGGTTAATTTATGTTGCTTTGAACTTTCAATGTAAATGTTTGAAAGCCTGTCCTCTCCGATACAGGTTAATTTATGTTGCTTTGTATGTAAATGTTTGAAAGCCTGTCCTCTCTGATACAGGTTAATTTATGTTGCTTTGAACTTTCAATGTAAAGATTGTCATCAACTGTTACTACATGGATTGCAGACATTTAGCAATGTATTTCACTCAGTGCTTGATTCTGTTGCTTTGAATGTCAACTTTATTCTCAGGTGTTACCAGACAGCTTACAGACCTAGTTGTCATTGTACAATGCAATCTTAGTAGTAAGGTGACCGTAGACAGATGACTGTTGTAGCAATAAGGTTGTTTTGTACAAGAGCATGTCCCACACATGTTGATATTGGGAAATATTGCTAAAACTGGTGTAAAACAACATTCACTTTCTGCAACAGAATCCTGAAATATGACATCATAATGTTTTACGATACAACAGTAACAAAGACTATTAGATACGTATTTGGTGAGTGAGTACCAGGTACTTCTCAAGGTTATATCTCAATACCAAGAGGAAAGTAGCAACGGTCGTAGACATTTAGCCCTTTGATGAAAGCCGAGAATTTCAGCGTGATACGACCACTTCATATGCCACCCATGCCTCCTTGTGATAACGGTATTCTTCTGTGAAATACTGTGTGTGCTTCAGTGTGAAGGACTGAGTTTTCTGAATTAGAGTAAAGTGATATTTTTCCTTGCAGAAATGATTCATTATTTGTGCAGTTTGTAGAGCTCTTTGTAAGATATTTGCACAATGATTTATTGTCATATCTGCATACACCTTACAGGTACCTTACTGGTGTTATGCACTCAATTAACTCGACCACTTCCATGGTCTGCTGGGTAGAGGTTCTGCCTGGATACCCTCAAATTGCACTATATATGAACAATAACCTTGAACTTGACATTAAACTCATTTCAGCTGACCTTGCAATGAAATCAGACTAGTTTACATGGTCACATGGTCTCCTTCCTTATTTGTATTTGTTGACTTAATTTGACATGTACTTTGGCTTGTATTATACCTGGTGGCATTTGAAAGATTCTGAAATAAAGCCTAAACGGACTCCTATATTGGTAACATTACATCTGCTGTCAGGAATTCTAGTGACACTTGGTAATTATACACAGGATACACAAACTGGTTCTGCAGGTAACTGAAAACACGTTTTATATGTCTGCCGAAAATAACTTACCATTGTTTCATGCCATTGTTTCAGGTAATAAAGGTCAGATATGAAGACGAACAGTGTCAAGTCTTCTGTTGGAAGTAATAGCATTGGTCACACCCTGAGGATAGTGTCCTATTGAAGTACATGTAACACAATCACAACCTGAAAACATGTGTCTGTGGGGAAACTATCAACAACCTCATCTTTATCCAAATATGTAGGATAATATGTTGATAGAAGTCATTGTTCCGATATGAAAACTTTTGGTTTTGCTTTGAAACCTCCAGGACATGTAAAGTACATCATTAAATGAATGTGAGCAGTAATATCAAGTCAGATGAAGTGCAGGAACTCATGGAACCCTGGCTGACGACAGTAAGGACAAAGTGCTTGTTTATTAATGATCAGACCTGGGACAATTATGAGGTAATGCCCTTATTTAGTGAGGTGTTAATGGAATTTACACTTAAGGTATCGGCAGTTGCTGATAGTTTAACATATTTGTACAATCTGTGAATAACACACCTTTAACTGATGAAAAATGAATGGAACATTAGAGTTTAATGAACCTGTTAGTTAATGAAATGTTAATACAACTTGTCAGTGAACATCTAATGCACTCCTCGACATTACATACGTTTCTGTATTTCTTCGCCTTTCTCACAGAGGAAGTATTAGATCATGAAACAAATATTTAATCGTGAATGATAATGTGTGATACATCCTGTCATGTATAATATATCTGGAACAAAATCCTGGTGTTTGACACTCTCTTGGTTTGTGTCTACTTGGGGGAATCACTCAGAGAAGACATCAACAAAATGAGAAAAAAATTATGCAGTCGTACAGAAACTTTGCATGCCCATCATTTGGGATTTTGATGAATTCGTTACTTCGTGTTGATGAATTAACACAAAGAACAATACAAATTTCCTTAAGTGCTCTTATGTTTTTTGTTTTATCGAATTAAGATATTTTCCTACCATGTTGTTGTTTAATGTCTCAGTTATAGACCTGGGCCTCCTTTCACAAAGCACTAAGCTGATCGTCAGTCACTAAGGTAGTAAAGGAGCACCTGGGCATTTGTCCGTTAGTCCTAAACAAGTGGAAATCCAGAGCGACTAGTTGTTTACTCACAAATATAGAACTTTTAGATATTTCATGTAAATCAAAAGTCCAAAATAAGTTGCGGACGAGCTGGATTCGACCAGTGGTGTCTGCCCTTCTTAAGAAAACCGCCATGGTGATTCCTGATTAGAATCGGTCCTCAACTTCCATGCTTTTCCTGCAAGGCAAAATATGTCAACCAAGCTTTGGATAACTGTTGCAATAGCTGTTAAAATAATCTCCTTTAGGAAATATAAAAAGGAAACATAGGTCCTCATTTTTCAAAACACGTCCTGAATAATATGAGTTGTGACTATATAATATATTGTTCATGTCGTGACATAAAGAAATAGAATCTTTTATTCAGTGACTGAAAAATATCCTTTCCCAAACCAACATGACCAAAGTATGAACATGTCTTTGGCTAAAGATAATTGTTTGTGCTATTGAGTATTTATTGATGTTGTCATTCACAAGAGAGACATGATACTCTTTTGTCCTACCCATTGGGTTTTGTAAAGCATTGAGCAGACGTTTTTGAAAATGATTCTCTTCACTATTCACTTCATTGGAGCAGGGAATAGGAGATCCAGTCATGTAAGGTGTGACAAATCACTGTGCAGAGTTGCATCGTATGACTGTGGGTTTGAGTCCTGAGTCCTGCATCACTTTAGGCTGTCCTATGTCATCAAACTGACACACTATAATATCACTGGAAAAACTGAAATCATTCTCTGCAGCAGAGCTCATACATAGAAGAATCTATTGAGTAATAGAAGATTGTAAAGACATATATATCAGGAAGCTGCACTTTGTTACGGTCATCTACTTTCTTCACCATCTACTTTCTTCACCATACGTTATAACTAATTGTGTGTAAGGTGAACTAGTTTGCTTATTTTGTGCTATGTGTTTGCCAAACGATAAGTACATCCGATGGAACCTATCACAGCCACATGCAGGGGCAAGTCAACTGTTCACTTGAAAACAAAAACAAGCTGAACGTTTGACTAGGGAATTTGATAGCACGTTTTGTCACTGATGTGGCATTTTTAGAAATGCCGCCATGAGGTAGCAGGTGAAAATTCAGAGATGGGTTATTTTATACGTTACACACTTCAAAGTAATCCACGGTGAAATTGATCAAAGCCATGGAAAAGAAAATGTACCAGCGACAATCATCATTACAATAACACGGTGTTTAGGTTGGAAGATACTCAGACCTGACCCCCGACCCCCCACCAACATGAACAGACGACCCACACGGCCTTCATCATAATAGAGTTTGTAGGGAGACCAGACTATCTGAAATGATTACAGCGACAGACTTGCCTGCCAATGTTGTCTCAAACTCCATTAGCGTAATTCAACACAGCCGGGCTATGTTTTATCACCTTAAACTGTGTCCACTGTAAAGCCAGTCACAATCTTCAAGACACCCTGGGAGCATCTGCCGAGGTGTCATTTGGTTGAGGTCGGGCTGGTTTTCTTTATGTTAAATTCACGAGACGCTGAAAGTGCTGGCTGGTGTCCTAGGTTTGAACTGTTGGACCAGCATGTTTTCATTACAAGGTAAATATTAGGAGAGACTGATGGGAAATTAGAGGTACCTGTAATGGTACTGACAGATGCTTATTACTGATTACATGTATGTTGGTACTGAATCTGTTTTGATTTACTTCGGGTCTAGTGACAGTCCCATTCAACCTCAGCAGCTTGACAAGATCTGTTTTTGACCTGTGCAGCTTTCACAATGGACATGCATGTGTGCCGATTCCGGATTTGAATTGATTTTAATCGCCTAACTATTGTAGCGAGGATTGGTGGATTGATGGTCGGGTTCGGTGACATGATAAAGTTGGTCGGTGACCCCTGACGGAGTGAATCGTTGCTGATAATATCAGTCACTGGCTTGTCAGACCCGAACATGATAGATTCATTCGATCAGTCACACAGCTAGGCTATAGTTGAATGCAATGTTAAGCAACGAACAAAATCAGTTAAATCAGCCTGTACACAAAAGCAATTGTGCATACAGGTAACAGGTAAATTTGACTCATTTGGAAGTTGAATCGTAGGAGTAACGCATGTTCTATGCAACCTGAGCAAGACTGTACATGGCGAGTAGTCATGGGCCATCAGCCTCATCTGGGCTCTAACAAAATTAGACAACTAAAATCACATTCGCTACACACCATATCGGTTGATGTCAGGATGTCAGGACATGTCAATATTTAAATACTGCATGTTGTGTTTTGATTGAGCCCACATGCTGTTGCCTTTGTAAATGATGCTGATAGTATGTGGCTATGCAATAGCGATAGTTTATACGAGGTGAAAAACATTTCAGCCGACAAAATCCATTTTCTTCTGATCAGTACCTAATGTGTGAACTATTACTGCCTTTTTCGTTAAGTGCAAGAGTAATAATTTGTTTAGTTTGAAGATTCTTCTAGAAAATATCTCTGGTTTTAAAGGTCGTTCTTTTTACCTTTCAACCATTTCTGAAGTATGGCACCCAGTTTTCAGGTACACGAAGGAATCATAAACAAACAAGCCCAATTCTTGTTTATTGTTTAAAAGTGACAGTTATGTGTGTATCAAAATATCATATGATAAATATCTGTTACCATATATGATGGATCAGTACACACACTTTTGGACAATTTCACAAAACGTAGGAATCGGTTGTCATATAGCTATGATGTAGTATCCTTCGTGACTTCCTTGTCATGATATTGGTGATTTATGAATTTTGGTGATTCTTTCGGTCCTGAAGATATTTTCTGCACCACTTGATGACCTCTAAATACAAGGATACTCCAGTTACTATTAACAATCAATATGGCCATAAACAAGCAGCACAATTGTTATAAGAGTGAGTGAGTTAGTATTTCTCGTCACATCGGCAATATCTCAGCCATATCGTGACGCAATTGTTATAAGAGATTTTCATGAACAACATGAGCGTCTCTGTCAAATGTAAAATAATGAAAAACATCGTCATATCCATAAATCTGTCATCAATATTTCTTGAAACCTCTCCTTCTCATGTTTTTCCGAGCCTGTTTTTCAAACCTAACATTAACAGCAAATCATTGATAAATTATCAGGTTTTGAACTACATTGCCCGTTTATTTTCATCAGGGTGTTCTCTACAAGAAAACCCTTGAACCCTTGGGTGACGGATTTAACAAAACCCGGAACTAGAATCTGATCACAATGGTGCAGAATGTGAATGGATCTGAGTGTGAGTGAGTTCAATAAGAGAACGTCATAATCCACGATGTTCTACCTCTAATAACAATCTCACTATTGATACCAACATACATGAATTAAGTTATTAATCTCATTTAATATCTTTGCTTGTGCTTGGTAAATTGTCTTGTATTTATCCTTTCATGACTCTACCTTCCTTGCCTGGTCTTGTCTGTTATTTCACTGAAAACTAACGAAACTGATCACATCAACCCATAATCTTTAAAAACACTATCGTTTGTTCACTTGGGTGGAAACCTTTAACTGATATCTTGAAGCCTTGAGATAACGTTCAATTTCAGTTTTACTTGTATGTCATGTCAAGAACTGTACTTGGATTATATAACTAATCATTCGTTGAATATGTTTCACAAACTTAGATTTCTGTCAAAAAGGAAAAAAATATATGCACAGTACTGTTGGGCACATAGCTGTTTCCATTCTTTCTTCCGGAAGACCAGATTGTTTCATAATTATTCGATGTAAGAACCCCTTGCTCTAGTGTAAAAATGTTAGTGGGTAGGTGCGAAACAAATAAAAATAAAGGCTTGTCAGGTTATTTTTATTGTTGAAATGGAAATTAGGCTTGTCTTGTCAATCCATCGTTATATATGCATTGTCTTACAGTTAGACGTATTATGTGGCAAATACGAGAAGTCAGAATGGCAAATTGTCGTTTCGCTTGTCTTTCTTGCTTCCTACCTGTTGTAGCTAAAATGCCGTTGGCATTCAGTGTCTTGTTATTGCCTAACTGATTATAGTAATGTGAACATAGTTTTCTAAATGAAACTCATCCCACTTACTTTTCAAGTAATGTCAAGTAATATAATGTGAAGTTATAATTCTGACATTAAATATTTGATTAGCTCATGCATAACATGCCAGTCATGGTACCACCAATACAACTGCATTTGACGAAACTGATCTTTTGCTTTGATTAGAATGGTCTTTACAATATTGTCACCTAGCTGTCAATGTAAGTGGTAATGTTAGCTACAGAGTATTTTTCTTTCAATACTAGTGTTTTTCAAGACTCACCTAGTACATTTGATGACACATGGGTCTTAGCAGATGTTGTCATTTGATGTTATTGATTCAAAGTCAACATTTTTGGAAACAAAAAGATCTAATAATGTGTGTTTTTATGTGACCATTTCAAAAAGGAAGTGGGCCATTCCTAGATAATCTGCTCTTTATTTCCGAGACAGCTTTTAAAACTTTTCCTTGATTAAACCCATTTTCTGAGGTGCCTCTTGACTTTTAGCACGTGAAAAGATCAATGGGGATCAATATCACTGTCGGAAGCGCTTGCACATGAATGAGAACAGATATTTGGACCCGTGGAAAACCAACGATCATTGTTCTGTTTTTTTAACATTGGAATGTTGATTTGATTTGCATGAAGAATAACCTGAATATGGCGGACTTGAAACATTGATTTTGGATGCAATATAATCACGATCATTCTGTCCACGTTACTAAAGCTTCAGATGTATGCATTTTGGTTGAAGTGTCCTGATGTTGACTAAATAGATGTATTTAATAGCAATGAATATATGAAATATACATGAAAAGGATTGTGTAAATGATGTAAGATATTGAATGTTGAAACAAAAATGA